GAACTTCAATATAAAAACCATTCCTTGTTCTAGGAAATTAAATGTCATGCATTAAAATCATATGGCATCATTTGTTGACAGTTTCTTGCTAAAAGTTCTGTTTAGCAAACCATGTTTACTGTATGGAATGAAAGTTAAGATGTTCTGTCAGTATACATTTCTATCAATGGTGCAAGGAATGTAAATGATATTGGTTTCCAACCATCTGCTGGACACAGTCAAATTTACCAGACACTTTCCTTATTCACCATTTTAATACACAGTCCTTTGAGTTGCTTGTGTATAACTGTCATGCAACATCAGAAAATAGTTTTCTTTTCTTTTGAATTGAATTTCATATGTCTGCATAATATATTGTCATGTAAGCCATATTTTACATTCTCCTGTCACATTCACTTGGTAATTTCTGTACAAAGTGGGATGGTACTAAATATTCTTGTTGAAAAAAAAGGTATGATTTCATCAAAATTCATGATAGCAATATGTCCTCTTGTCTAGAGGTGGACATGATGATCATTATAAAGACAGCTTTTCTAAGTTTTAAAGATCACCAATTAGCTGTTGTTTCCTTAAGCAAGATTTTTACACGCATTGCTTCCAGGAATGGATTTGAGGGTGTTTCAATACAGCTTATACTTCCAAAACAATCAAACTAAAATAGATTTGTATGAAGTATGTTAATTACAAAGATTCATTTATGACCAAAATCACTAATGACTTACAAAGGTCACCAATGACAAAGCATCAAATATTACAGGTAAAGGTCATCAATGGTAACGAATGAAATATTACCAAAATCACCAGAGACTGCATTATTACAAAGGTCACCAATGACATTGCATTATTACAAAGGTCACCAATGACATTGCAATATTACAAAGGTCACCAATGACATTGCATTATTACAAAGGTCACCAATGACATTGCAGTATTACAAAGGTCACCAATGACATTGCAATATTACAAAGGTCACCAATGACATTGCAGTAAAACAAAGGTCACCAATGACATTGCAATATTACATTTGTTACCAATGACTTTGCAATATTACATTTGTCAACAATGACATTGCAATATTACAAAGGTCACCAATGACATTGCAGTAATACAGAGGTCACCAATGACATTGCAATATTACAAAGGTCACCAATGACATTGCAACATTACATTTGTCAACAATGACATTGCAATATTACATTTGTCAACAATGACATTGTAATATTACAAAGGTCACCAATGACATTGCAGTAATACAAGGGTCACCAATGACATTGCAATAATACAAAGGTCACCAATGACATTGCAATAATACAGAGGTCACCAATGACATTGCAATAATACAAAGATCAACAATGACATTGCAATATTACAAAGGTCACCAATGACATTGCAACATTACATTTGTCAACAATGACATTGCAATATTACATACATGCTGATAAAGCATAAAATATTACAAAGGTCACCAATGATGGCATTGAATATTACAAAGGTCACCAATGACGGCATAAAATATTACAAAGGTCACCAATGATAAAGCATAAAATATTACAAAGGTCACCAATGACAAAGCATAAAATGTTGCAAAGGTCACAAAGCATAAAATATTACAAATGTCACCAATGATAAAGCATAAAATGGTACAAAGGTCACCAATGACAAAGCATAAAATGTTGCAAAGGTCACCAATGACACATGATTTTAAAGTTGAATTAAATGCCATTGCTAGATTCAAATCAGTGGTAACAATGTATTAGCTTTATAACACTATCAGACAACGTCTGATTTGGTATATTTATTGTGATGACTTGTCAGTATTTTAAAAAAACATGGTAACAATGTCAAAAGATTATTATAAAGTTCAGTGACATTCCAACAAAACCTTATTTAATCTTTGAGCAAGAGAGTTTCATCACGCATTGATTGCTGGATTGTATCTGATATACTTGTAAGAAGTGGTGATATCCAATCACATCTCCTATTCAATAAACTTGTGATCTGATTGCGCCTGAAGGCAGACAAATAGAGAATACCGGTCATTAAAGTCATGTGTTGACCTATATTTACCAATAAAATCTGGCTGATTTGTTAATATTGTATGTCCTGATTGTGGTAAATTTTGTACTTTGTAATTGGAATTCTTTGCATATGTTAACATATATGACTTGTAGCAATAACAATGTTATATTTATAAAACTGAAGAAGAATAGAACATGCATTTATTTGTTTCTCTACATATTATTTCGCAAATTAATTTCCAGTTCATTTCAGAAATACATTTTTGATCCATTGCAACTATTTGTTTCTACTCTCTCAACTCTTTGTTCTTGTTTATACTCTCTCAACTCTTTGTTCTTGTTTCTACTCTCTTAACTCTTTGTTCTTGTTTCTCCTCTCTCAACTCTTTGTTCTTGTTTCTCCTCTCAACTCTTTGTTCTTGTTTCTACTCTCGCAACTCTTTGTTCTTGTTTCTCCTCTCTCAACTCTTTGTTCTTGTTTCTCCTCTCTCAACTCTTTGTTCTTGTTTCTACTCTCTAAACTCTTTGTTCTAAATGTTTCTCCTCTCTCAACTCTTTGTTCTTGTTTCTCCTCTCTCAACTCTTTGTTCTTGTTTCTCCTCTCTCAACTCTTTGTTCTTGTTTCTCCTCTCTCAACTCTTTGTTCTTGTTTCTACTCTCTCAACTCTTTGTTCTTGTTTCTCCTCTCTCAACTCTTTGTTCTTGTTTCTCCTCTCTCAACTCTTTGTTCTTGTTTCTCCTCTCTCAACTCTTTGTTCTTGTTTCTCCTCTCTCAACTCTTTGTTCTTGTTTCTCTCCTCTCTCAACTCTTTGTTCTTGTTTCTCCTCTCTCAACTCTTTGTTCTTGTTTCTACTCTCTCAACTCTTTGTTTTCGTTCTCCTCTCTCAACTCTTTGTTCTTGTTTCTACTCTCTCAACTCTTTGTTCTTGTTTCTCCTCTCTCAACTCTTTGTTCTTGTTTCTCCTCTCTCAACTCTTTGTTCTTGTTTCTACTCTCTCAACTCTTTGTTCTTGTTTCTCCTCTCTCAACTCTTTGTTCTTGTTTCTCCTCTCTCAACTCTTTGTTCTTGTTTCTACTTTCTCAACTCTTTGTTCTTGTTTCTACTCTCTAAACTCTTTGTTCTTGTTTCTCCTCTCTCAACTTTTTGTTCTTGTTTCTCCTCTCTCAACTCTTTGTTCTTGTTTCTCCTCTCTCAACTCTTTGTTCTTGTTTCTCCTCTCTCAACTCTTTGTTCTTGTTTCTACTCTCTCAACTCTTTGTTCTTGTTTCTCCTCTCTCAACTCTTTTTTCTTGTTTCTACTCTCTCAACTCTTTGTTCTTGTTTCTCCTCTCTCAACTCTTTGTTCTTTTAATGAGGGTAACAATGTTGCACTAATGTCATTATTCAAATTAGATCATGTGATACTCTGTCAGTACTTTAAAGGAATGGTATTAAATGACAAGTTGCTGCTGATTGTATAACCTTACTGTACATGTACCACAGAATATGAAAATGGAACAATCTCATTGGTCAAAATACGTTCTGTAATTTCAACCACTAAAAACAACTGTTTCACAGAAATGAAAAGCACATTGATTTAAATATTGATTTGTAGAACAACTGTTTTGTTTTCATAAACAATATAATTATTGATTACAAAACTTCAAAAATACCAAATCCAATTACATTGCAATTGTAGTATTCCTATGATATTTCTCTATCACGAGGTCAAAGTTTACTTGACTGACAACAATTTTCACAATAGATGTTATCCGGAACTCTGCAAATATTGGTATTCCCATCTAAACAAACTTCTACCATTATATTGTATTTATAGGGACTTGCTGTTGTCAAAGGGATTTTGACTAACAGCTTAATTACATCAGTTACTTAAGGAAGCAGCCTTCTTTTGTCTTGGGTATAAAAAGCAAATGTGTTATCAGACCAAACAATGTATTTATGAATTTTACAAATATTCTGTCTAGATGAAACAATGAGCAGATATTGGCAAACCTTTCAAATTGTCTGACTGTATCATACAATACCCCTGACAATAGAAAATACTTGTTATATAACTAAAGTATTAAATAGCATCTTTCTGAAAAAGAACATATAACAGGTTAAAGTTGGAAGATTCAAACAAACAAACAAAAAGAATTTCCTCATATAACTGTACACTGTAAATCTGTCCTAAAATTAAATTATGTTTGTTTTGTATTATTTTTTGCTGTATTGTGGCAAATGATTTGTCTGCAGATTTATATGGTATGATACAAGTTAGGTACAAGTGTACCAGATATTCAACAGTCTAATAATCATGCAAATGAAGAGCAAAGTCAGGCTCCTTTTTTCTTGGCCTACTTCAATTATGTTTCCCCATGCAGTCCTATATGACAGGAAATTGTTGCCCTGAATGTGCACTGCATGTGAGTGTACGGTGAACATTAAATTCTATCCCATGCTGATCTTTGATACATATTTTATATGAATTAAAATTTGATCTTCATTAAAATATTTCTACAAGTTTAACAATAATTTTGTTATACTGACTATCAAAGATTAATGTTTCTTTGAAACTGAGAACTTTTTCTATGTTATTTTTGCTTGTTGCACAAGTTTGAAAGATAAAATAAAGATAAAATGATTAAACCAAAGAACCTAATAGAAAATCTATGATGAGAAAATTGTGAATAAGAAATATCTACAATTAGTATAGTGTTCTTTTGTGTTGTATTGTATTGAATTGGTGCACCATCTTGCTTTAATGTTGTATAATGTTGTGTGTGTATAATGAAGCATGTCTACAAAACAAAGTAAATTATTTCTTAATGGTGTATTACATAGATCATGTGTGAATGAATAAATGTTAGACTACAAACAAGTAATTCTTGAAAACCAGTATAATCCTTGATAGTTTAGTTCCATATTTTATGTCTTTTAGTTTTGTAAATAACAAGTTTGTGACAATATTTTACATATTTTGTAATTTTATATATTTCAGATTTGAAAGACCTGATAGACGTGTTGTCACGGAAACAGTTCAGCCACAATCATCATCGAGCACAGCTCTCAATGACGCCTTGCAATCACGTAGAGAACCCACATATCAATCTACTGCATCTACTGCATCTCATAAGGTAAATTAACCATAACTGATCCATTATGAGACCGTATACAACTTTTGAAATCTTTCTAGAGCCCTCATAAGGAAAACATCATTTGTTGTTAAAAATCTGACCCAAAGTGAAGTAATTGAAGGAAATCCCTTTTATACAATAAGAGCTTTCCATGGCAATGTACGTAACTTAAGACACTCATTATGTTAATATCGTATAATAATATCTATAGCATGTAAATGATTATGAGAAACTATCTATGGCACCATGGTATCTCCATTATAGCTATCTATGACAATCAAGAAGTAAGCTGTATCAATAGCACCCAAGAGGTGTATGTCATATAAAGCAATTTATGGCACACCTACAAATCTATTTTCTGCATCTTATATTATGCTGTCTCTAGAACCCAAAGGGGTATATCTCATAGAAAACTATCTATGGTTCTTAAGGGGTAAATGGAGTATGAATCTATCTATAGTCCAGTCAATTTGTGAAAAAATACTTCAGAAAATGGGAAAAGCACCAAACTTGGTACAAATGAACTTTGATATATATAAGAAAAATTGAGCATGGGACCCATTTTTTAAAATCCAATATGGCGGAAAAAATCCAAAATGGCCGCCATACGTGTTAAAAATTTCAAAAACGCTTGTTTTTACTAAGAGAACTTGATAGATAGCTGCATATTAGGGTATTGTAATCAGAAAAATAGTTGTTATTAATATTTAAACATTAATTTGTCTTTTTAAAGCTATTACACTTAATATATTCTATTATTTCTGTTTGTCATTAGTTTTCACGACCCTGGAAATCAAATGAAATAAAATATTGTAGAGGTCTGATGTTAAGACATCATTTATTTACAACATTCCTTTTTGTTTACAATGTTTATTTATCACAAGGAATTACTTATCAAATAGATTAAACAAAAGTATCTAAAAATTCTAGCATAACTCAACCCAACGCAAATTAAATATCTGCCCGTCAAGTCAGGTGTACCCTTGCAATTTTAACTTGTTGATCGCTGTGAAAGAGATTAAACAAAGAAGGTGTGAATAACAGAATTATAAGCTAACACGTGTTAAATTGTAACAGTCATTTGGTATTTGAATTGTCATATCATAAAAATATGAAACTTTATTTTAGAATATGTGACAGGAAAAAACGAAAACCTGGCAGATATATATGCTGTACATTTTGTCAAAGCAGAAATGTGGATGTTATCTATGTCTCTGGTCAAAGTATGAGTTACAGGAAATAAATTCATTCTAAACTATCCCTTTTCTTTATAAGAAAGTACATGATTGTTCATTTGTTGTATAAATATGGAATGATAATTTTGAAGAAATTTGCAGTTTACAGAATCAGATTTTCACACACCTGTGATGAAATAACTGCCTTTTAACACTATACATTGGTTTTCGATTGACTAACTGCTAACTTGACACCAACTTTCAAGACTAATCTAGTTTTGTTACACTAACTCATTATTGTAAATAACATCAACCTTTATTTACCTTCGGGATGTATCAAAAATTGATATAATACCCCTCTTCCTTCTTTAATGCCACTACCATCCTTAATTATATGTCGAATTCCATTTTGGTGTCCCTAAGGATGCCCTGTGCCAAAAATATTCTATTTAGTTGCTGGGTTTCGTGACTTTTGGCCTCCGTTAGCAATCATGTTTTCTCATATTTTTAAACAAAATTCCAAAAGGCATGTTCTGACAAGTTTTTATTTTAGACATTACAAAGTTAAAAACAGCCCTTTATTTGAAGACTCGGCATTTCCGCGCTATAATCAGATCAAGGAAAACAATGGACAAACATGCTAGATAATTTGCCATATCTTGGCACTGTTTCTCTTCTGAGGGCCTCAAATGTTTGTAAGATTTAAGATACGTCACCCAGTCTAAGGTTTAGAATGAATGGGCCATTGAAAATAATATAAGTACGCCTTGTTGCCCATAAACATCAGATACCTATAGAACAGACTTTGTGATGAATGTGTTGTTTGTTATTATTGAGAATCTCAGTCATTATTTTGTCCTGGGTTTTGTTGTTATAGCTCAGCAGTTTCCAGACTTGACAACAAATTCCAAATTTTCAATGACATGCTTAAACAAGACAAGAGCAAAATATATTGATTTTCATCATCAAGATCAAGAACGTAAATTCCAAAATAGGCTATAAAAGCAGGTTTTGTTCCTTTGTGACAGATTTATGATATGTGACGTAATTACGAACAATTCAATATAATGAGAATGATGGTTGAGATTTAGTACAGTTTCGAAGCTCAAATAGGATAAACATAATGGTTATCTTGTTTGCAGTTAGAAATGTCCCAAAGAGCAACTTTACAAAGATAAAGAGCAAATATCCTAACTAAGGCTCTTTGCTACCAATCCCAGTTTTGTTATTTTATTCTAGAACAGAAAAAAGTGACAATGACCTTTCCCCCAGATATCTAAATAGCAATCCAAAGCTGCATCTTAATATAAGCTACCCACACAGCAGGTTTAGAGTCAATAGGTGAAAGCAAACTCAAATTATTACGTGAAAATTGAGTTTCTTTTTTAAACGACAGTGATCTTGACCTTGTGTACACACACCTTGGTAGCAATACAACATTGCATCTTGATATAAGCTACCCACATATTAAATTTGATGTCAATAGGCCGAAGCAAACTCAAGTGATTGAGCGGAAACTGAATTTCTATTTTTGTGCAACAGTGACCTTGACCTTAATCACAGATACCAAGGTACAAACACAAAGATGCCTCTTGATAAAGCTACCCATACACAAATTTTGTTGTCAATAGGCCAAAGCAAACTCGAACTATTGAGCGAAAACTGAATTTTTATTTTTAGCAGCAGTGACCTGATCACAAACACCTGGGGAGCAATCTTAAGCTGCCTCTTGATATAAGCTACCCACACACACAAAGTTTGGTGTCTTTAGGCAAAAGCAAACTCAAGTTGAGCGGAAACAAAACGTTGACGTCCGCTCACCTGCCCGCTTGCCGACTTTGGCATAACAATTACCGGTTTTCGTTGAAACCTGATTAACAAATTTATATGACTAAACATTTTCAGGACTGCATTCCATGAACGTTGGTCTCTGTTGTATTCATATTTTGAGATTCCTGTGATTGATTAAGCATGTTAAGTCACGGTTGTTATTGTTATCAAGTCTAAGGCTCTAGTCTCAGGGCTATGTTTAACATAAACTTCAGATAAAGTCTTACCTCAGATAGACTTCCGTCAACTAGAGAGATACTTGATATCATTATAATATATGAAATAGGACACTCAGCATCGAATTTCAATATGCATAGAGCTTGCAAAGCGCAAAACAACACACTCTTTAAATATCCTCGTAACTAAGATTTAATATTGAACGTAAATGATGAAATTTTAAAAAAAACCTTTAAAGGAATAGGCAGGCAAATTAATGGCAATATCAAAATTATCTTATGTACTCAAATCACGTTAAAATGACATTTGTAAATGTCCAAGCATGAATTTTTGTATCAATTCTGTTTATTATGAGTTTGAAGCGTAAATATAAACGGAATTTAGCTGCCGACAGAATCACCGATGACTGTCAAGTGTATATATTTTGAGGATTCACAGATTAATGAATGAAAAATTCAAAACGAAGAAATGACAATGTTGTCTGTGTCTCCCTTTAAAAACATGAAAATAAATATTTGGGTTTTATCTTTAAGGTTGCAATCACTCTCAAATTGAATTATGAATAATCCAACATGAAAGTGGTGTTACATTTAATAGATCTGAGAGCATAATGCCTACAGGACCGTGTGTGTATTCTATTCCTAATGAGGGTCATAGTACCTTGGATACATACGCTTTTGTTTTTTCATTTTCATAGTATCATAAGATTTGTTAAACATTGAATTAAGGTAATATTTGGTGCTAGCAAATATTGTTGATTAAGCTGAAGGAAATATAAATACTTCCAGCTTTCCTTGCATTTACAGGAATGGAATATGTTAAGACATCCTATTCTGTTTGTAAATTATGTAAATTCAGACATTACAATTTGAATACTTCTTATATGGTAAATTGCTCACAATCTACACATAAAGCATTTTAAGGCATTATATCTCATAGTTATTTGACATGATCGTCTACTTAGGATTACAACAAATAAATTGAATATGAGAAAATAATCAAAAAATATTTCAAAGTACTGAAATAGACTGTTTTGTAATTTCAGTAACTTGTTACCATAGAAACAGAAACAATTAATAGCATTATAATTGTAAACTAGTATCTTTGATTATTAGTAATGCAAATCTCTCATGTTAAGTGTAAACTGGGGTAATTTCCAGTATAATTGTAACTATAAATAGCCTCTACTGGAAAAGAAAGGTGATAATTCCATGTAATGGCGGCCATTTTAAAAAATGGCTGCCATGGCAACCATCTTGGCATATATAAAATGGGTCCCATGCCCAAAATGTTTCTTTTGCCTTTATTAACATCTGTGCCAAGTTTCATGCTTTTCCCATTTTCTGAAGTATTTTAGCATATTTTGTTACAAATTGACTGGACTACTATGGCACTCATGAGGTAAATGTCCAATAAAGCTGTCTATGGCACTTATGAGGTTAGTGTCCAAAAAGGCTGTCTATGGCACACATGAGGTAAATCTCCAAAAAAGCTGTCTATGGCACTCATGAGGTGAGTGTCCAAAAAGGCTGTCTATGGCACTAATGAGGCTAATGCCAAAAAAAGCTATGACACACATTAAGTTAATGTCCAAAACGCTGTATATGGCACTCATGAGGTTAATGTCCAAAAAGCTGTCTATGGGACACATGAGATTAATCTCCAAAAAGCTGTCTATGGCACACATGAGATAAATCTCCAAAAAGCTGTTGATGGCACTCATGAAGCTAATGTCCAAAAAGCTGTATATGGCACACTGCCACATGAAGTTAATTTCCAAAAAGCTGTCTATAGCACACATGAGATAAATCTCCAAAAAGCTGTCTATGGCACACATGAGGTTAATGTCCGAAAAAGCTGTCTATGGCACACATGAGGTAAATCTCCAAAAAGCTGTCTATGGCACACATGAGGTAAATGTCCAATAAAGCTGTCTATGACACTCATGAGGTTAATGTCCAAAAAGCTGTTATGGCACACATGAGATAAATCTCCAAAAAGCTGTCTATGGCACACATGAGGTTAATGTCCAAAAAAGCTGTCTATGGCACTCATGAGGCTAATGTAAAGCTGTCTATGGCACACATGAGATAAATCTCCATAAAGCTGTCGATGGCACTCATGAAGCTAATGTCCAAAAAACTGTATATGGCACACTGCCACATGAAGTTAATCTCCAAAAAGCTGTCTATGGCACACATGAGATAAATCTCCAAAAAGCTGTCGATGGCACTCATGAAGCTAATGTCCAAAAAAGCTGTCTATGGCACACATGAGGTAAATCTTCAAAAAAGCTGTCTATGGCACTCATGAGGTGAGTGTCCAAAAAGGCTGTCTATGGCACTCATGAGGTTAATGTCCAAAAAAGCTGTCTATGGCACTCATGAGGTGAGTGTCCAAAAAGGCTGTCTATGGCACTAATGAGGCTAATGCCAAAAAAAGCTATGACACACATTAAGTTAATGTCCAAAAAGCTGTATATGGCACTCATGAGGCTAATGTCCAAAAATCTGTATATGGCACTCATGAGGTTAATGTCCAAAAAGCTGTCTATGGGACACATGAGATAAATCTCCAAAAAGCTGTCTATGACACACATGAGATAAATCTCCAAAAAGCTGTCGATGGCACTCATGAAGCTAATGTCCAAAAAGCTGTATATGGCACACTGCCACATGAAGTTAATCTCCAAAAAGCTGTCTATGGCACACATGAGATAAATCTCCAAAAAGCTGTATATGGCACACATGAGGTAAATCTCCAAAAAGCTGTCTATGGCACTCACAAGGCTAATGTCCTATAGCTGTCTTTTGCACACTGCCACATGAAGTTAATGTCCAAAAAGCTGTCTATGGCACACGTGATAAATCTCAAAAAAGCTGTATATGGCACTCTTGAGGCTTATGTCCAAAAAAGCTGTCTATGGCACTCTTGAGGCATATGTCCAAAAAAGCTGTCTATGGCACTATTGAGGCTTATGTCCAAAAAAGCTGTCTATGGCACTCTTGAGGCTTATGTCCAAAAAAGCTGTCTATGGCACTCTTGAGGCTTATGTCCAAAAAAGCTGTCTATGGCACTCTTGAGGCTTATGTCCAAAAAAGCTGTCTATGGCACTATTGAGGCTTTTGTCCAAAAAAGCTGTCTTTGGCACTCTTGAGGCTTATGTCCAAAAAAGCTGTCTATGGCACTATTTAGGCTTATGTCCAAAAAAGCTTTCTATGGCACTATTGAGGCTTTTGTCCAAAAAAGCTGTATATGGCACTCTTGAGACTTATGTCCAAAAAAGCTGTCTTTGGCACTATTGAGGCTTATGTCCAAAAAAGCTTTCTTTGGCACTATTGAGGCTTATGTCCAAAAACGCTGTCTATGGCACTATTGAGGCTTATGTCCAAAAAAGATATGGCACAAAAGCATAAATCTCATAAAGCTATATATGTACACACAGTAAATATCATAGTAAACTTTATATAGCACTCATGGGGTAAATGTCTAGTAAAGCTATCTATGGCATGTGGTTAATCTCATACAATACTACCTTGTATGTGGTGATTCTCATTTCAAGCTATTTATGACACAATAAGGTATATCATACACACACACTGTCACACATGAAGTGAATGCTATCTTTGGTCTACCATGCTGTAATATTTAAATATGACTACTGAAATAGATTTAATTCAGATATTTTTGAAAGTTTCATAAATTTTCTTTCAGCTTGATCACTGTTGAAATAGAAACCATTTTGACTGTTCAATAAACTAAACAGGCTTATATGTTGTATGTTCTTCTTGGATGTCAGACCTTGTTGATTTGTTAGGGTTCCTTTTGTTTTGTTTTAGTGGCTGAGGGGGAGGGACTGTCATTTAAAATTTTGTTATACCTTGGCTAAAAATGAGTGATAATGATATCAAATATGGCGACAGTTAAATTTAGTGTCTGAATCTCCAAGATTTTCAGTGTGTTTTTGTCTCCAGTATATTTTACTGTTATTCATAAGTTTTAAAAAGTTACATCCTTCTTTGCTTGAATGGTACAAATATTTTTCACAAGTTGTAAAAAAGGTACAAAATGACCTTCCAATTGGTATCATTCCATAAGTTTTCTTTTATGAATTGGCAAAAAACACAAAACTTGTACTTTTAGAAGTTGAAAATGTTCTTGTATAAGTTGAAAAATAATTTGTTTTGCTTTCAATGGTACATATTTGTATGTTTTGTTACAAGTGATAGATGGCTTTATGTTTTATAAGCTGTTAAGTACCTGGAGTTTCTGTCATATCTTAAAGTTACAATGAATGGTACAATGTTAGTAGAGTTGTCATTGATGGAAAATTTTGTATTGATATATCAAAAGCCAAATATCAACAATATATCTATATAGGAAATTAAATAGCTTGTACAATGCAAAGGGAAAAAGGCATTTTTCTTCCCTAGTTTGAACACTAGATTTAATTTTCTATATAACCAAGAAAACACACTTTCTTTTGGTATTCTGTGTTTGTTATTTATTATATAAACTGATAAAGCTTATTAAAGTGAAACAATTGTTTTGATAAACTCAGTATTGGTTTGTGATCTTTTTATCATATTAAGTATAAAACATACATGTATAACACCAAGCTGACAGTTCATTAAATATTTAAATGTTTCTTTCATATGTTCAACAAGTGACAAATTTTTTTACAAAGATATAAGCCAAAGGATTTGCAAAGTCTTTACATTAGATAGTGAAATCCCTGGTTTAGTATAATGATGATATAATTTAAAACTTTCTCAGGAACACGTCTTACATTATTCTATAGGGATACATTTTTTGTCTCGGTTGATTGAAAATGTAATATTGGTTTCAGTGAAGATATTTCCTGGAAAAGTGCTCACTTTGATAATGAAAACAACAGATGAGTTCAGAAGACAATTTCCTTACTTGTGTGTACTGGAAATTATTTACAATATAAACATTGTCACCTGACGTCTCTCCGGAAATTAGTTATCCTTACAATAAATATAATAACATTGGAACTACTTTGATGAATTAGCAGTTCTTTTATTCCTGCAAAATGCCATCTTATATTGCAGTTTCTAGAATTTCATTTTGTGGTAAAACGAGAACATAAGTCTGTTGATAGTTATGTTTATTAAGGTGGTGCAAGTACTACCTCTAAATGCTTTTTGGTTTTTGAAGTTTGAATCCCCTTCAAGCAATGAACAATGAAACAATGGCTTGTGCTATATAGGTTTGAACCAACATGGTCACCTGCCAACATTTTAGAATACCAGTTGAACCTGTTAACTTCTCAGTCAAAGTGCTAGACCTTTATTGATTCATAATTGTATTTAATGTGATTCAGGGGGCATTCTGCTGGTGTGTATAAGCCATGATGAAAGTAATTTGAAAATGCTTTTATCCCAAAGTAATAGCGAGCTTGAAGAGCGAGTTTTAGGTAACGCGAGTACCTGCTAAAAGTGATGGTTTTAAAAACTTTCGTCCAAAGCACTGAATTGACACATCGCAACTTTTTGAATTACAAGATAAAGATAAAAACTGAGGAATTCTGACTGAAAACGGATGCATAGACTGGTCACCTGTGCACTTCTATGGGAACCATAATAGGACAGGGAACCAGAATAAATGGAAGCAGTGTATAAAATACTTAATGAAAGTTTTAAAACGGAAAATGTAAAATGAAAATTGAAGGATTATTTTATACTATTTTTAAAGAAAATGGAGCTCGCTTTGATGCTTTGCCTTTTTCATATTATTTACTTGTCCATTGAAAGTATTTTGACAAGACTCTGATTATAATAACTGATTTTATTTCCAGCCACTTGAAAGCCAAAATTCAAAAGCCAGTAGTGAAAATGGAGATAATGACAGTCTATGGAAGGGTGTTAGAAATTTTGCCACCATGTTTATGGAGGAGGGGCTTGAAGAAGGTGGAGCAACTTCGGCGGAGCCGATTCCAATTGACGGGATAGATTATAACCTCGGCAAAATACAGATGGCACTGAGTTATGATTTTCAGTCGTTAACATTAACTCTTAAAATTTTACAAGCTCAGCATCTTCCGGCAAAAGATTTTACCGGAACAAGTGACCCTTATGTTAAAATTTTATTGTTACCAGATAAAAAACATAAACTTTTAACTAAAGTGAAAAAGAAAAATTTAAATCCACGGTGGAATGAGTGCTTTCTTTTTGAAGGTAAGTTTTTTAATTTTAACATATATATGATATTTAGTATGATATATGTTGTTTTTTAGTTTGATTTTATTGAAATATTTTGGCTCATCTGGAAGCATGTAGCTTGTATAGCTTACTTTCATCTTTTGAAATTCACAGCTTGATTTTAATGTTTGTACCTGGAACAAATTGCCCATGTTGAGGTATTAGGATCATTTAACAGTTATGAAGTAAAATCAATGATAACACTGTGGAGATTAGTAATGTCATAGAATATACCGTACCTGAATCAATTATCAGGGAGGAATTATTACAACCCTGTGATTGATTAAAATACAGTCAATCAGAACACAGTTAAATACAGCTTGAAATTTACACATTCTCATGAAAATTAATGACAAGAAGCAGGAGTTTTCAATCAGTCAATTTTGACATCATTTTGTAAAGATCTTGTCTTTGGAGCAGTAACCTCTTGAATAAGTGATTTCCTCTTTTAACTCTACAGCCTGTTGGAGGCAACTGCTTATACCCATGCTGCCAGCGCAGACCAAGATCAGCTGACAGGTCGGCTGGCATATCTGATCATGGTCTGCACTGTTTGCAGTTCAGTCAGTACAATATTATTTTGAAATTTACCTGAAAAAAAAGATAAATGTTGTTGTTAAGATTTGAAGAGGGAGGGCCATTATGGGCAGTATTAAAATCTTACTGAAGCATTTGCTTATTAAACGAATTTTTCCTTTCGAAGCATTTGTTGCCAAAACAATTTTTCCTTAAACCATTGATTGATTCTCTGTATTTTAAAATCTTGAAGAAAGTGTTTTATAGAAGTTTAAGATATACAACTACTTTATAATTTCTCTAGAGAAATATTCATTGCTGTAAATTCTACAAATGTGCTTGTCATTTCTTGTGTAGCAGCTTATCTTCTTGTTATCATTTAAAATGTCCATTAGGACAAGAGTCTGTGCAAAACTGGATCAGTTTTTTCTGTAGTCTACAACTTTTACTACAGTTTCCTGTTAAAGTGACAGACAAATAATGGCATTCTGGGATATAATACAAATGATTGCTTGCATCAGACAGTATTGTAATGGTTATAAATTGACTTAAGGTCTAATAGTATACAGTCTAACTGTTTCAGAGGACTTTGATCTCTTATCTATGTATGTAAATGATGTAAAAATTACAATAAGATGATGTTGATATTAATTTTCTGGAAAGATTTTCTTGAGGACCTTGAGTTTACACAATGTCACAATTTTAGAAAATTATTTTTTGTCACCTCAAAACTAGCATACAGTATTCTGAGCTTGTTTATACACAAAGAGCTGGCAAAGATCTGAATTTTTAACTATTAATAAATTCAAGCCTTCTAAACAAAAAACCCAAAGTGGATCTCACCTTTTCATGTTGTTTTGATGAAATCACATTTGACAGTTTTAACAGGTGCTTATGTTCTGCGGACCTATGGACCTTTCCGGTTTTTCGTAGCGGAACATTTAGCCACACCTTTTCCATTCATTGCTAGGTCAACTGCTCATAAACAGTATCATAAACCTAAGCACGTGTTTTTTTGTGCAAACCAGGTCAACCAGTGACTATGTATTATCTCAGTGTAGCGATTGGATAACAAGTTAGCCAATTTACATAAAACTGTAAACACCGGAAAGGTCCATTATGGTCATGACTTTGGTCCTAGACTGCAATCTCATAATTTGTCACATGACACACATAATCTGTTGAAATCATAATTATACAATATCATACTTGTTAGCTGAAGTAAACCCAAGTCTTGTTAGAAGCTAAATTTCATTTCATATTTTCCAATATTAGAAAAATTAAATGTTTGTTTTAGTCATTGATTCTTCCAGAAGCTTTGCCTCTCCTTGTATTACTGGCTTGAATTTTCTTCTTGTACTGATACTTCAACAAATCAGTCTTGTTCTTGTTGTATTTTAAACAAGTCTATTCTGATGTTCAATGTTCAGGTTTGCCTATAGTTAAGTGCACACCTACCTTCTTCTAACAACTGTGTCAGGAAATTGATTCTTTGGCTCTAGAGGTCTAGAGCATTGTTAATTTTATGTTGCGAGTTTGAATGCCAGCCTCCCTGGAATCTTTTACTTCCTGTTATTAACTAAAAATGCTCCCTTTAGATTTTGATGTCTGTATGTGTCTATATATAAGGATTTGAATGTTTTGACCCTATACTTTTCCAAAGTTCTGTATTTAAGCCATTTCAAGGTTACTCCATAAAGAAGTTTTATTCTTGATAACAATACATTTTCAACATTTGACTGTGGAAACAGTTTAATGAATTATCTCAGACAAATTTTCTAGTAGTAAAATAAATTTAGTAAGTTTCAAGCAGCAATTATATAGTCGTAACATTTTATGGAACTATTTTAATTTTAATATTTCAGGATGGCCTCACAATAAATTATTAGAGAAGACACTATATCTACAGGTGATAGATTATGACAGATTTAGTCGAGATGATCCCATAGGGGAGACTTACATTCCATTAAATGAAGTAGATCTGTCACAAGCACCCATCATGTGGAAATTTCTCAGTCCATGTAAAGACAGCAGGGTGAGTAATTTTGGTCTACTGTTTCACAGCTAGATTTATAATGACGATAACATTTTATGACATTAAAATCAGTTTTATTATAAAGTTGGATAGAAATTTAGAAGACAACATTTAGAAAGCAATTATGAATGAGTAGCCAACAGTTCTAGACCTCACAAACAAATAATTTTTGTCATTGTCAAAACTTAAAGTGCATTAAAAAAAAATTCTAAACCACGTAAACAGTTGATTTTTGTCATTGTCAAAACTTAAAGTGCATTCAATTTAACAATGTTTGTGCTCATCCAATTAATTATATTGAAATGATGATGTGTACTTTATGTTATGTAAGTAATAAGTTTGACAAGAGAATTACATAAAATGAGAAATCTGTTCATGTGGTATATTCAATAACAGACAGAAGTGAACTTTTTTTTGAAGTCTACAGTACTGGTGACATCACATATTCTCCTGGTTTATTTGTCAGCTCATAATTCATTTCTGAACAGCAAATAATGTACTTTAGCACAATTATAGTGGACTTCTTTTATTGTTGAAGATTATCTGGTGTCTTGACACTCACTATATTGGTATTTCTTACAAAAGTAAACATATATTTTAAAGGAACTCCACTTAGGTCCAAATACCCAAAACCTACAAAAGCCTAGAATGATCTGAAATTGTGCACACAAGATATTAGTCTAGACTTACATCAAATGAAACTTTCTAAATCTCTAAAAAATATTTCCAGTCCTGTCATAAAACCCTCAGTTGAGTCCATTTAATGCATTTAATTAATCATGGAAAAGAAAATGGGAAAAAAATTGAAAGTGTTGCAAGCTCAGTTGTGGACATGCAAGCTACATGTACTATCTACGTTACCTAGCAACTTATATAGCTAAATCATATGTCAATCACTGATTTTGACTTACTTCCTGTCAGTCATTGTGTATTTTTTTCTGCTTCTATTTTTCAGGGTAAACTTGGAGAACTGCTTCTATCTTTGTGCTATGAGCCCAATGTGGGTCGCCTTACTGTGATAGTGATTAAAGCCAAGGATCTTAAGGCAAAAGATATTACTGGTGCCTCAGGTAAAAACACTCTTTCTTTATAATGTCTTATTACATACATCCAGTTGGAAATATATTTTGACAAATAAAATAAGAGATGGCAATCTACTACTTTGCTCATTGGGATAATACTTAAAATTAAAGCTCTATCTGGTATAATTTTCAGTTTGTAATAAACTTGATATTAACAAGAAGTTTTAAAGAAGCAAATTACAGAGTTACTCTAAATTAACTTATTTCACTTTATACAGGTTGAGTTTAAGACTATACAGTTTCCTTTTATTCTGTTTTAATGGTCAAGTCAAACCATGGACAATGTGTTATTTGCAGATATCTAAATATATGATTTCATTAGTATTGAACTGGTATAGATATTTTACCTTTGACAAGTTTGAAGTCCTTGCTTGTATATTAAATATTTTAGCTGTTTGAGTTATATATAATCTTTGTGCTTTGTTTGCATACATTGTTTCACCTACATCATGTGTCATATGTTAATGTTTCAGTAATGTTTGAATTATATTTTATGATTGCACTACATGTAACTATGACAACAGTTGTCTTAATCTTAAATGTTGATGATAGTGGAAATGTTTTCCCCTTGTTCCAAAGGATTTTTTTTCCTTTTATTTCGAAAATGATATTATATGAGCTCAAAGCAATATTTCTTTTTAAAAACAAAATTAGACTACAGTATACAGCACTATGTAATCAGTAAATTCAAGACTTAAGTCTTTGGGTAATACCAAAAACCTAGTTTTACGGGAATTTTAATGCAGATAGTTTTTAACTATAGAAACTAATTAAAGTGTTAATATATTACAGTAAATAATAAGTGGTACCAAACAAAACCTAAGTCAGGAACAGGTAGTTAAAATACACTTGAACATTCTAAAAGGCGGAGGAATTTTATATTGCATTTGAAGTCCCCATCCTGAATGCAAGGGAGAATTTTACATTTTGCATTTCCCCCTCTTTTTTCATGTTCACAGAAATAAATGATATGTTTCATACTGCATTTTCTTTTCTTTACACAAATTCATTTCATTAATTTGATTGTTTCTTAATACAGGTAATATTTTAGGTTGAATTATATATACAAGGTTTTTTATGGATCTACATGTATTTAAATATTTTAAATTTCCCAGATCAAACACTTGTTTGAAATGTTTGGTATAAAAATGTTTTCTATGGCAATTTAGTTGAAAACTTTATATTCATCAGAGGCTTTGATACTACACATTTGTAACATCATTTTTCATTGGATAATTGTGATGTTCATATAATCTATATACACTGCTGAGTAGATTTATGATGTAATTTCATTTTTTCTTAAATAAAGGAAGTTTGCAGTAGTATAGATCTGTAATAAAGATTCTTGACAGGTTATATGGCCATATATAAACAGTTATTTGCAATATATCCATCACCTAATGGCTCAGGTTATACTTCTAAACAGCCATTTATATAGGGCCATATAACCTGTCAAAAGTCTTTATAAGTAATATCATATTCTAAAATGGAAAGAAGGCTACTTTGAGAATACAAAAAAGTTCATATTAGTACTGTTTAGGAAATATAAGAACACTGATTAGATACACAGGCCTGTTTATGAAACAAGTACACATAGAAGCCGATGAAAAAAATTAAAACAACAATGGCAGATGTTAACATTGTTCTTATTATTTGAAATCAGAAACCACTGTCTGCATCTTTTATTTACAACATCTTTATTTTTCAGCACAATTTGATTTATTAATAAGCTGCACGAGAATTAATTTTGATTTATTTTATTTTCTTGATCATAGACATATTAATACACACAGAGAATTGATTACCTAGAATTTCATATTTACAGTTCTAGCAACATTACTTCACAACAAACCTTGTTACGGATCAGGTAGTAATAGGGGATTCATTTGAGTGAAGGCTTTCAAAACCCCCCGTTTTATCCCAAACTTAAAACACAGATTACATTTTGGTGAAAGTATTTATTGTACCCTTTGGATCTTTATGATGTTTTATAAAACAAAATCCTGCTCAAATATATATTTATGAATTAGGAAGATTAAATTTAAAAGGTGTCATGTATCTCTGTTAGATTTGTTCCTTAGCGCAATATAAGAAACCAGGATGAAATCTAGGTACCGTTTTACAAACAACGTGCTAGAAAAACCTGTGCATTAACATCCCCATGCAGTATGAACAAAGTCTTAGCGTTTGGCGTTTAGTAATGCTGTATCATCTGTTGTTCACCTGTAAATAGTATGGAGAATGACTTTGTCCAGATTGTTAGGGATGACATGCATTGTGCTACTGCTAAAGCATTCATTACGCTAGGCTCTAATGAAGAAATACATATTATCTGTTCGTTATTTCTTTCCTAATTATTATTAATCTATCATGTCATATGCAAGGAAAAGAATCAAACACCGGCTGTTGCTACAGACATGAAAATCTAGCTCTCGGGTAACCGTTTAACGGAAACTCGACAGAGCCTTGTTACCGCTGTAAACAGTTACCGTCGAGCTAGATATTCCGGTCTTTACCGGCAGCCAGTCTTAGATCCCTGTAATATCATTCTTAAAATTTTGAAGACAAATCTTCATTAGAAATATTTCAACTGTGTAAAATTTGATGCATTAGGAATTACTTTGTATAGAAACTTTAAAATTTCTTCATTATCATATCACCATTTCAATTCATCATTTACATAAAATCCAAGTTTACTTTTCTATTGATTTATGTTTTGGCAATTATTACAGTTGTACTGTAACGGTATCATCAATTTAAAAGTCATGTGTTAGGTTTTAACAGTTCATTGATTCACTTCCAGTATCTTTTCATAACCTGCTAGTTTTTGTGAATGATTTTTTAAATTTTATTTTTTGAAATTTTGAAAAGGATTTGTATATTATAGTTCTTTGATAAAAAAATTTGTGCAAGATTTTTTCCTGAAATTTAAACAGTATTTGATACCCAGCATTAGAAATGCTGATAAAGGGAAACCAAAGAAATATCCTTACTTTACCCCACCTCCTCCCAGCTTGACATAAAAGACCAGTTTTACTTTTAGTCAGCCTTCAACATTTTTGGAAATATATAAGTTTTCTTCGACCATTAAAATCTGTTTCTATTTGTATTTTAAGTTTCAATTCATGCTTTAATAATGACCCTAAAAGGTAGTGTTTCAAATATTCTTGGTAAGGTGTATCTCCTGTGTATCTATCTATATGATACATTGCCAATGCTTTCACATTATTTTGTTGCAGCTTTACTCAGGGTCTTTACTGCCATAGTGTTTCCCTGCTTTGTTACATAAAAATAGATTTTTTTTATTTAATTTTATGGAAGTCATAAGCTGTAACCTTTATCACTCATTACTTTGAATTAATCATTACATCAAATTACATTAAGAACTAATTATGATCATGTATTATCTTAAGAAAAACAACCTTAAATTAATTATGATAATCATATAATTGAAAGCAGTTATAAAAAAGTTAAACGAAATTCAAACAAGCCATAGCTTGTAAAGTTAACTTTGTTATTAATGAAAGCTAGAAAAGGGAGCATGATGAACATTATAATTGGGAGTTAATTACATCTTGATGAGTCTTTATTTTACATTTCAGATCCATATGTAAAGTTATGGCTTTGTTTTGGAAAGGAGAGAATAGAGAAAAAGAAAACATCAATCAAAATGAGAACTCTGAATCCAGTATACAATGAGTCATTTATGTTTGAAATTCAATGGGACAAAATTAGAGAGGCGTCAATAGAAGTGACGTGTATGGACTTTGATAAGTTAGGTCGCAATGAGATGATCGGCAAAGTGTTGCTAGGATCTAAAAGTGGACCATTAGAAACACGGCATTGGAACGATATGATCTCGAAACCAAGGCAACAAGTTGCTCAGTGGCATTTATTAAAGGACTGATTAGATAGTAAAGTTTTCGTGTGATTGGTGCCATGAGCTCTATAAAGCTCATCAATTAATTAAGATATGTTATCTGTTTCTAAAAGCGGCCTACAGTTTGCGTGCAGGAGTAAAATCTTTACTTAGTATGGTAATTATAACTCCTCAAAGAATTATCTGTAAGAAATTTTAAGATTTCCATGGTAACTGACTTGAGATGAAATTATGGAAACAGAGATCACCAGATTTGAGATATTGGTGAAGGATCTACAGAACATTATACAAATTTCTTTTTCTGAATGATTGAGCTTGAAGTTGAAAAGATAAAGGAATGTAGGAAAAGAATGTTTCTACAACATTGTGAAAGGAAATAGATTAAAGTTGCTATGGAACTGTTGGCTTTATCATTCAAACTACATTGTATGCATGTTGTTTCTTTTTAGCTCACCTGTCACAAAGTGACAGGGTGAGCTTTTGTGATCGCTTTTCGTCTGGCGTCCGTCTGTAAACTTTTACTTTAAATGACATCTCCTCATAAACCACTAAGCCAATTGCATCCAAACTTCACAGGAATGTTCCTTTGGTGTTCACCTTTGAAAATTGTTCAAACACTTTAATTCCATGCAGAACTCTGGTTGCCATGGCAACTGAAAGAAAAGCTTTAAATACCTTCTTTTAAAAAACTCAAAGAGCTAGAGCTTAGATATTTGGCATGAAAAATCTTCTAGTGAGTGTCTACCAAGTTTAATCAAATAAAAGCCCTGGGGTCAAAATTGGTCCCGCCCCAGAGGGTCATAGATTTTCCCTATATGCATATAGTAAAAACTTAAAAAATCTTCTTTTAAAGAACCCAAAGAGCTAGAGCTAAGATATTTAGCAGGAAACATGTTTTAATGGGTGTCTACCAAGTTTGTTCAAATTGGAGCCCTTGGGTCAAAAATTGGCCCCACCCCGGGGGTCATTGATTTTCCTTGTATGTTTATAGCAAAAACTTAAAAAATCTTCTTTGAAAAAACCCAAATAGCTAGAGTTTGGATACTAAGCATGAAACACTTTTAGTGAGTGTCTACAAAGTTTGTTCAAATAAAAGCCCTGGGGTCAAAATTGGCCCGCCCCGAGGGTCATTCATTTTCCTTGTGTGTGCATAGCAAACACTTAAAAAATCTTGTTTGAAAAATCTCAAATAGCTATAGTTTAGATATTAAGCATAAAACATCTTCTAGTGAGTGTCTACAAAGTTTGTTCAAATAAAAGCCCTGGGGTCAAAATTGGCCCTGCCCCGGGGACATTGATTTTCCTTATATGTGTATAGCAAAAACTTAAAAATCTTCTTTGAATGAACCCAAATAGCTAGAGTTTAGATATTAAGCATGAAACATCTTCTAGTGAGTGTCTACAAAGATTGTTCAAATAAAAACCCTGGGGTCAAAACTGGCCCCACCCCAGGGGTTGTCATTGTTTTTAACTATATGTGTATAATTAAAAGTTTAAAAATCTTTTTTTAAAAAACTTAAAGAGCTAGAGTTCAGACACCAATGAGTGCGTGTCTACCAAGTTTGTTCAATAAAAACCCTGGGGTAAAATTAGTACCCGCCAGGGCGGGGGGTCATTGTTTATCAATATATGTGTGTAGTTAAAACTTAATATCTTCTTTTGAAAAACTCAAAGACCTAGAGCTTAGATATTTAGCATGAAACGTCTTCTAATGGGTGTCTTCCAAGTTTGTTCAAATAAAAGCCCTTGGTTTAAACTGGCCCCGCTCCGGGGACCTATATACAGGTGAGCGACTTCAGGGCCATCATGGCCCTCTTGTTTTTTTTTAAATAATGGAGCTGTGCCAAAAATGATAGATTAATAAAGCTCTATAATTGATTAGAGGTAGAACTTTATTTAAGATAGATTAAGTAGTAGTGTGTCATAAAAGGATGCAGTGCATATTGAGTGATTTGACATGGTGGTTAAAGAAAAACATTTGTTTTAAATTTTGTATCCTAGTTAACATTCCTTATGTTATAAACTAATAAGATGTGCTAAATTTAACGAGATTGAGAAATTATGTTGACAATTCGAAAAATACTGCATTCTTGATAACATTCCTTATATAATTAACTTAGATGCTAAGAAGAAATACAATTTAACAATTTTAACAGCTTCGTAGGAGCTAAACTGGGGTCAATGTCGCTGTTTAAGACATTTTGATTTTTTCTTATTGATGTCTAACTATTATAACTTAGTTGTAGACCTAATTTTTGTAGGCCCGGGTTGTGTTTATCCAGATATACATGATGTTAAATGAATGATTAAATAACAGGACAGTTTATACAAAATAGACTCTCAGAAAATTTACCTTTCTCATTGGATGAAAAAGTAGGGGAAAACCTAAATTTCATTAGATTGAGAAATTTTGCTGACAATTTGAAAATTTCTGTTTTCTTGTTTACATTCCTTCTATCAAAAATCAATTAACAAATATTAAATAAGCTGAGAAAATATGCTGACTGGAGAAAACACATGAAATACATTCCAGGTATTTAATGGAATCATACATACATAATTATATTTTATTTATTTGTGGTTTTGTGGTTTTTTCTATATTTATATTGTTACAGGGAAAATTGCTGAATCAATTTTATGAGGGTATCGGAAAAATTAAGATGTGAATGTTAGTGGAAGTTTTACTTTTTGTATTAAATTGTATTCTTTATTATTTCACATTTAAGTAAGAAATTTAATGCTCTTTTAAATTTTGTATTCATATCTTCATTATATGCCCATGAAAATGGTCCACCAGGCACTTAGGGTTATTTCCTTGAACTGAGAAAAGGTCATCAAAAATTTACTGGTTCTATTTTCATTTGTTTAAAAGATAATAACTTTCTTCGGTAAATGTCTCAAAAATGGTGTTGTTGTCTCATTTTTATTAACATTCTCTCCTTTATTGTAAGTTCATGTGTTGTATTGAATGTGATCACTTATCTGAGCAATTTACTATGCATATACATCTAATATTTAGATATCTTGAGTTCAAACTTTATGTTAATAAATGTCTTACAAGACCAGTATCTAAAAAATGTCTTACAAGACCAGTATCTCTTTTATTTAATAACTGTCAAGTTAATGACATATCATGCCTGTTAATTTATTTGTATGTTATGAGGTAAAGTTTCAAGTCACATAGGGCACTGTTATGTTCAAATAGCTGTTAATCTTGTAATAATGCTGGTTAATCACCCAAGATGAGTTCATTCCAAAAGTAGCAAGCAAGCACCAGAGTTTCCCATATACCTTGCATTAACTAACAAGTAGAATTCAAATAAATTGGAAATATATTTTCTTATTATGTTACTAGATATAATTTTCAGATATATGGAACTTGCAGATATTCTACAAATGCTATGTTTAATGTTACGGAATATTTTTATAATTACGAAGATGTACTATTTGCAATGAGAAAATCAATTATTTGTAGATTATTTGTTCATAAACAAATGGGAAAGATGACCCATTGTATAAGCATACCTCTACCAAAATGTACCATTTAAAGACTCTAAGCATACCACATATATAATTAAGGGTAATTTAATAGCAATAATTAACACTTCCTGGATACAATGGTACTTTTCTCCTTATTATAAATATTATAAGAGTCAAGCATATGCTAATACAATAAAAAGGCAATTCGGGAAATAACGAATAACTCGTGTATATTCAAAGTACAACTTTAATGAAAATGAAAAGTACAATTTAGTAGAAATATAAGATATGGTGAAAATACATGATTTATTTTCATGAGTGGTATAAAAATAAATATTTCATGAGTGGCGGTAGCCACGAGTGAAATATGGTATTTTTCATGCCACAAGATGAAAATAAATCATGTATTCATAGAAAAAACTTGAATTTTCTGTTTATTATGTACATTTTTCTCTTTTTTGCGATAAAATTTGAAAAACTTTCCCTTAAATTTTGTGTACTGGTAGAATTTAAAAGAAAGTAGTCCGGCAAGACACCAGTGAAAATACGGAAACTATGCTTCACTGCATTAAAAAATAAATTCTTACAGTGAAAATACGGAAAATGAAAATACGCATTTTATTTCATCAATATTGCTCAATATTTCATTTATAAGTATATAATAAAAGAGCATAACATTTGATGAATAAGAAATAACATCAGATGTATATTCAAAAGTACAACTTTAAATGAAATGAAAAGTACAACTTTTAGTTAAGAAATAATAAGATATGGTGAAAAAGTACATGATCAGGTACAGACCTTACAGCCAATATAATCATTCTTCTATAAATAAAAAAAACAACAAAAAAACAATTTATATATATATACATTACTTTATACATTACATGTATATAGGTGGTCCACTTACAAAATGTCTTACAAAATGGTATGCTTTGGTGCAGTTGTACAAATGTATGTTTTGTAGCACATTCCCTTGTTTCAGCCCTACACAAATCATAGCCATGTTTCCTCATAAAATAGACTTGAAAGTGGTTCAAAATAGTTACCAGCTTTCTTCCCAATGTATGTTTACTCTAAAAATGATTATGTTAAAATATTCGGAAAAAAATTATCAAATAATGTACACACATGTATCTTTTAACTATATAAAACATTTTACAGTAGTAGTTTTTCTCTGTGCTATTGTTTTTCTTATTTATGCAATTTGAGTTCTTTATTTTTTTATGGTACAAAAAAAGTTGTTTGATATTTTTCTAATGCTACTAGTTAATATGATTTATTTATGTATTAAAGGTGATTGTAGTTTTCTAGTAAATGTAGAACATTTAGAAACAGTTGAAGCAATAATCAATGTTCATTGACGTTGCTTTGTTTTTTGTTTATTCATTATGTATGCTAATCTGTTTTAGAAAACTAAATTTTTGAAATATTTTGTTTTTTAAAGTAATTTATGTTGTTAAGAGTCTGCTAATAGCGAGATTCATTTTTGCAATTTTTATAAGTTACAGAAGTCAGTTTTGAGATTCATTTTTGCAATTTTTATAAGCAGCGTGCAAGTTATTTTGCACTTGAAAACAAAATTAAGTTGTATATTTCTGTAAGAACGATATTTATCTCATAAACCACTGAGCAGGAGTGTAATGAAACCATTCATGGAAAGGATATCACACTAGTGTAATAACAAATTGATGTGACGTCATTTGCATATACACAAACATAGTGTTAAAGGGCGCAAATGTTACCATTACACTATTGATGCATTATTGAAAAATGAGGGTTTTTTTTCAACTGTAAACCCTTCTTGTTATGGATATGTGAGAAAAAGACTATTAGATTCCAGTAGATTCAATTCTAAATTTATTGAACTTGTTGAATAAAGTTAGTACCGAATCTACACTCATTCAATTTATGTTAACCCTAAACATGCTGGAACCAAAAACGATCAGCCCTTTGCCACCAGTATAGAGCCAAGTCAGTCTGCACATCTATGTAGCCTGACCAGGCTTTATACTGTTGGTAGCTCAATTTCTTTTATTTATTTTTTTTATATTGAAATCCCTTGAAGTTTAAACGGACTGTTTCAAATTCAAAGCTTGACAGATCCATTATAAAGATATAGGTCAAGGGTTAAATAGATTGGTGTTTGTGGTTTCTTTTAAATCATAATGACTGTACTTACATTAAATGGGCATTCTCCAGCTTTAACTGATTGAAGACAATTTGAGATGACCATCTGTCTATAAGATGAGGCATAATTCAAATCAAGTTAGCTATATAGAATTGTATTATATAAATTATGCAAATATTTCTTCTTTTCCTTTTGAAGGAGTTAAGGAAATTGCAAGGATATAGATTTTTAAAATGAATTCTTAAATAAAACTGATTGAACCACCTAAAATTTGACGTAGAATAGATTTTTTTTGTGTTATTGAACTGTAGTTACATTTATATTCAGTCCTACATTTCCTTGTTTAAACATTGATTGCTTGTTTCATCATATATTAAATCACATATGAGACTAAATTAATGTTTTTTTAAAATCAGGAATATTTCAATTGTCTCAGTTTTTCACGATAAAAAGCAAAAAATGAGAAATGTCAATAACATTTTGAATACTTACTAATGTAGTGTTAGTTCTTTTAATTGTATATTGTTATATTTGATTTAGTTTCATTTCTAAATTTTACACTGGCATGCAAGTTAACAGAATTCATAACTAAAGTCTGTGACTTTCAAAAGTCTCATATATTTAGTTTAGTAAATGCATGATCTGAAATTAACTTTATGTAATTTTTTTATGAATTTATTGAATTATATGAATTATGTCTAAAGTCTTGCTATACTCCATTGTGCTTGTAATCCAGATTTTGAGGTAAAACTTATTAAAACTTGTATATTGCTTGTAATTGCCAGTCATTGAATGTCAGCACGAAAAATCCAACTATTTATTGTGAGTTTCTGCAATTTATGTATATGCAGCCAACCTTACAAATGCACTGTTGTCAATGGATATGCAGAAGGTGTAAAAAAGTCATAAATTAAAACATTTTTAGCATCAGACAGTTAATATATATTTTTTATTTATAGGAATGTATAGATTTTTTGGAAGGTTTCTATATATAGTGTCTAAACTGTTACCTAGATTTTTTATTATCTTCAAGAAAGTGTTGTTTATGTTGATATTGTTAATTTATGAGCAAATGATGTAACAATTGTAGTACAAATGATTATGTCAAAACATGTCCCAATCAGAACGTAATAAAATTATTATTATTCCATTGGTGTTTTTTATTTTTATTTTCACAACATCCGCTACAACGCCTTCATATGTGAGGAATGTAT